ATTGGTTAAACTGTGAGATGTTGCTTGGTGGAAGGACACATCACAGACGGGTTCACGGCTCTCCAAACCATTCATTCCTCCATGAATTGTTAATGTTACACTCACAAGTGTCTCCCCGCCTCTGTGTCTCTTGCTGTGCTTGTATTTTGGCTACGACTTGACTCCCTTCTGGGAAATCTCCGTTTAGAAAGCTGTGAGTGCTGTCTGATACACTGGCTTGCGTTCCAACTAACTCATTTGGTGTGTTTTGTCGTGCAGTATGGGGTGATTACGCTGCTTGATTACAAAGAAAGCACTGGATACTGGATCTTAATACCAGAATCAAAAACCAACCAATAATGCTCGTCTATCTAAAGCCTTTTAACCATGCTTATCTGTAAAACGGTGCTTTCATGTGGACCAGCTGCAGGGAGGAGATCCAGGAAGTGTGGCACAGATGATACTGCTTAATGCTCAATGTATACTCCACTGTTTGTCGTAACGAGGCATGCAGTTAAATCAATGGGATAATGAAGAGCAGGGTTGGCGCGTTAGCTTGTCAAAAACATCTGGGACTTTTATGCAAGACCGTCCAAAGATAACAGTTCTATAAGTGTGAACACGTGAAGCTAGAATAAGGGACATTTTTAATCATTTTGTGGCTTACCTAAAGCAATAAACATGTTTGTACATAAAGCTGATGTGACTAAAATGTAGAAATGGTCTGTCTGTGCAAGTGAATGTACTAGTCGTGCTATATAAAGTATGTACAAATGATAGAACTTAAAGCATAGCTCACATAAATTACATTTAAAGGGCCTATATTACGCTATTTTCTGACCTATGTTACTTGAAAGCATACCTGGAGTTCTGTATTGTTTCATTCACACTTGTTTAACACACATCCTAAAGGGAAACACTTGGTTCCACGTTCTGATGTGATGTGGTAATACAGGAAATGCTCCACTGTGTTTTAAGTTCCATGCTCTGTCAGTGGAATCATTTCTATGATTTCAGCCCTTGAATTGTCAATCTCTCCTGAACAAAAGGTAAAAGTTAGCTGTTAACATAAAAACTACCACTGCATGACATCACAAGGTTGAACAGAGCATTTTGAGCTTTGGCGATGCAGACTAATAAACCAGGGTTGCTCTGTAACTACTACCAGGTATGATATTTTATGAGGTAACAACATTATAACATGGTTTAAAGCTCACCAAAATCCATTTTGTGAAATATTGCACCTTTAAATTAATGTAAATTAGGCACTGAATGCAGTATAAGGTAATTTATAAGGTACTTTTTTCTTCCTAGCCAATCTACCAGTGCCATTACTTCTCATTCTACAACACTAAGCCCACTAATATTACCATTAGGTTAGCTCACTTGTCTAACACTGTAAGAAATACACTTACTTTTCCTCAGGGGCAGCAATTACTTTGTATAATGTAAAATTTGTGATTTGTTTTCCATTTCCATAAACTATTTATAACTGCATTATTGAGTATTCATGGATGCTAATACATAATATGAGAATGAGGTCAGTATGCCACCACTAAACAGTAACGCACACACATTTCTTATTTCCCATTAAATATGAAGAGGGCATTTAGGACTGGCACAAATGAAAGAAGAACATTTTATTGAGTGAGAAATTAGAGAAAAGCTGACAGAGCTGACACTGTGTGGAGCAGGATGCAGCAGAGGTGCAGCCGTTACTATGACAATGAGCGACGAGGAAACCAAAGGAGGTGGAGCCCAACCAATTTATCACCACTTTGGCCCTGTACATGTGCCTCTGTGCGACTGCATATGTGTGTGTATTATGTGTGGGTGTGTACGTGTGTGTGTGAGGCTTCACCTCCATCTGTCTGCCCTTGAAACAGCCGAGTTCTTTTTCTTCCATTCTACCTCGGCCAGAACATTACCCACTGCACGCTAATGAAAAGTGGAGCAGTGCAGTGGAGAATTGGCCAGTGCTGCTCTGTAGTGGGCAGACAGCCACCAGGACTGTGTCTTTTGTCTCTGGAAAATTGCACAGATTTTGAAAATTTATTCAAAAAGTGAAAGCAGTGAGTTTGAATGAAATGCCACCTTAAAAATAAATTTACAACACTAAGATCATTCCAAAGTAAGTTTTAGTATGTAGTTTTATTTGTATTTAGTCACAACAAGTCTGAAATGAATGACTGGATATTTGTGGTTGCGTCTGCTGTGGTTTTAGCATTTACATAGAAAGAAGAAAGACAAGGATTCAGTCCTGATTAAAGCTCATGCCATTATTTTGATAAATTGTGCAAACCTATGAACCGTTGTTGAGTTTGTAACCATCACGGGAGACCATTAAAGGAGCTTATTGATTATCATTGATCGGCTTGAGCACATATTGTCTAAGAGCAATAGCTGATTACTGTTTTGCTATTCCCTTCTTCTGGAAAAGAGGTCTTCCATTCTTGTTTTTCACTGGTTTCAGAGAAGAGTGGGTCATGTTATTCTAAATGGGCACGGAGAGGCCAGTTTTCTTATGAACCCTGGTCTCTGTGAAGGATAGCCTCCATTACTTCATACAGATAGCATGTAGCAGAAGTGTGCATGTGTGCCAGGGGTGGAGGCGGGGGGCTTGATGGGTGATGCTTTTCAATTGCCGTAACCATGGCAACTGGACTCTCAGGACAAAATGGCGGACGGACGAGGGAGGGCGCACGGAGGAGATGGGGGTAGTCCGGGGTAGACAAGGGGAATTATGGGGGTTCTGGATCTCCTGATAAGCAGTGATGGAGATGTAAGCTGGACAAAGCCAAGTGGAAAATGGTTAAAGGGCATCAAGTGAAATTTCAAACAAATAAAAGTTAGTGGAAGGAGGGAGGATGTGCATGGCTTGGCACTTGAACACTTAGCAACCATGAGATAAAAATGATGAATTGGGTGTAATATTAACTGTAAACTGTGAGGTTATTGATGCTGCGTGGGTCATATGTTACGGATAAGGAAATGGTTATGGATTGTTTTGGAGCTGGAGACCTGTAGAAAGGTAGAACCACCCAACAGCTGTGTGATAAATGCGCTGACATATCTACACATATATTTTGATCAAGGTTACTTAAGGTCTACAGTAATTTAAAACATTAATAATCCTCAAACATGATAGCTTGTGTTTAGAAAAGGTGCCTAGGAAGTGTATTAATATTTGAAAGAGTCTTAGGGGTTATACTTATAGAGCTATTTGAGTGTCCGGAAGCTGCTCACTACCTGTTGTTAATCTGATCCAAGCTTGAACTTAATTGCGTTCTTGTTTTCCTACTTATCTGAACCAACAATGTCTAGATTTGGAGTATATAGAGTATCAAAGAGTGCAAGCTTCCACACAGTCAATATAGCCCCCAACAGCACCTCTAAATAGAGCCCTTTGTTTTCTTAATTGTCAAATTAAACTTGTCACTTGACTTGAATGGGACGCACATATGCCAGCTGCCAGCTCTGAGAAATGGTAGAATTTAGGAGGGGGTTCCTCACACCCAATAAAAACACAGCCCCTCCCCCATCCACAAGCACCCAAAGAAAGAAAGAAATACAATAACGATCTTCTAGTTCAAGGTAAAAGATTCCTGCTTTGAAGGACTGTGCTTTCCTATTCTTATAAGAATATTTGAAATTTAATTGTGAATTACCTCTTTTCCGTAACTTGAAATCCATGGATATAATAATATTAATTGTTAAACACTTTTCACACCAAGTACCAACTGAAAATATTTGGATTTTTGAATATCATTAGAGCTAAACCAGGCCTTAAACATGACTAATCACGGTCTAAACTATAGCTAAACCAGGTCTAAAAATTGACAAAAATGTGGCTTTAATTGACTTGCAAAGGAATCCGTGAGCTGCTCATCTAGACCGAGAAATGCTTTTGAACATCTTCTAAAATTTTCCAATACAAATGAAGTTTTCAGGCATTATTTGTTTTTTCGCACTTGCCTAAAAGCTTTTGTACATTTGAGAGTCAACACATGCAGCCACACTGGAGATAAAGCTCCATGACAAAGTGCCTCAGGATGGATGGGCCCCCCTCATCTGGTAACCATCAGCTCACAGTCTGCTGCTGCTCTGTGTCCTGGAGGTGCTGGGCTGTACGAGACACTAGAGGAGTCCATATTAGTGTTAGGACAGACCTGTGTCACTGTTTACATAGGCTGCATACTGGTCCCATATGCAGCACCGGGACAACTATCCATCGTTATCATTGTGCGTGCTCTATTTACACCAGACATTTATAGCATATTTTGCATTAAGATGACGGTATTTATTGTAACTAGGGCAACTTTGAGAAAAAAATAAAATAAAATAGAGGTGCACTATGTAACCTTTCTGATAGAGAACCTGCTAGGTTGCTTGTTTCCATGGAGATGCTATTGCTTTGTCTGCAGTGTTTCAAAGTATGACATTAAACTCAGGTTTTACAGGTGAGATCTGTGAAGAGGCGACACCACTTACAGTCAGAATGATCGTTTTTAAAGGTATTTTTGAACAATAAAAACATCCATAATTCATTAAATGCATCTCATATAAGTTTAATACCATATCGTGGAACATTATAGGCAAAGCTATAGCATTTTCATGTTACAGTGTAAAGTTACAGTGCACTTTTACATTTTTTCTGCTATTTTATTGCAATTGTGATTATATTTGGTTTTCATATTCAGTTCACAGTGCATATTTTAACACATCCAGGAGTGTTAACATTTGAGAGAAGATTTTAATATGAACTGCTGGACTATACATTTCAGAACATGTTAGTAGAGGTTTAAACTAAGGTCTGGACATTATCTAAATATTAGTGATTTGATCATGGCAACAACTCAAATTTGGATTTCAGTTTGATAGCAAGTCCTAATTGTAACTTTATAAATGTCTGAAAGTAACAAGAAAAAAAAGATTCTGTTATTATTAAATCAACTAAAATGGAGAAATGTATAAAATGGCGCCCAAATATAAAATGGTTCTTTTTTATTTCTCCTCTTATTTCTTACTCTTAAAAGCCTATTCATTTCTGTGGTTGTTTTTGAATCTGCCAGTCTTGTAGTGAAGTGCCTGTTACATTGTCTGGGTCACTCCGAGCTTCATGCAATCCCCCTATACTTCACACAGCGAGGGGCGAATTCAGCTTGTTCCTCCATGAATAGTCCTGGGATGTCTTTGTTGAGGAAGTTCCATTTAGCTTTGTTCGAGTCCTCCTGCTGCACATAATGAAGGCTTAGGATTCAAAGCAGCTTTTATCTGTTTAAATTCAGAAAAGGAAGCTCGAACTTGACCTTGGCATCCAATCAAACCCTCATTTAGACATTTAGGATTTCTTAAACAGGTGTAGGCTCCTTTTTGGTTAAAATTGCACTCAGTGGGTCGTTGAGTTAAAGAAAATCCGATGAAACGAATCTATCTTAGTACCCGGAAAAACGTAATTATTTTTGGTATACCTCACTTCGATTCATTTTGAAAAACAAAACATGTCTTACTATTTTTGGAGGAGAGCTTTCCGTTTTTCCTAACCACACATTTCTCTTTCTTTTCCTTTTTGGTTTTAGTCTTGGCTCCAGTGCCTCTCTGCCTGTGCACCATGTAATAAAGTGATTTCGTCTTTTCTCCCTCCCGTTTTCATGCAGGTGATTTAGGGGGCTGTAGTCTGATCCACCTCTCCACAAAGCCGGGTTTGATAAATAAGTCGTCTCCACAGCTTGGCTCTCTTGAAGATTGCCTGTGTTTTCATCCCGCATCAGTGAAGCATGAAATGCATCCAAAAGCGTTTAACTCCAGTCCTAAATCAGACACATTGGGTCAACAGACAGTAACACATGTATACAATGAATGCAACCATTAGTTTGTAGTTTTTAGTCCAGTATACTTCATTGAACTGTAAATTAGACCTATTCAAATGAAGAATTAGAACCATCCCCATAGCAATTAATAATTGAAAACAAAAGGTCCTATCATTTAAATGATGAAACGTCCTCAAAATGCCTCAAGTGCATTACCTCACTTTTCTGGTTTGAGGGGGTCAGGTACTTGTTGTCTCCATAGGCATAGATAGCATCTCCACTTAGACAAGAAGGTTGCGGACCCTCTACCAGAGAAGATACATCTTGAAAGAGAAATTTGCTTTTGAAGTACTGTGAAACACTAAATAAAACAGAAGATAAATTGTGCAATTAAAAACAGCATACTCTTTACTATGGTTTTGTAAGTCTCAATTATAAAAACACATTATACTTCTCAGTAGTCTTTACAATTGCATGGTCTGTGCAATTCTTCCATGGGGGCACTGTCTGATTTTCTCTTTTTAATTTTTTTGCAACTTGTATCCTGTCCATCATGTTGTATACATTTCACTGCCCCGGGCTAACTCAGAGCTGGTGGTCTATATTGACTTTTTTAGTTTTATAGTAACGACACACATATACCCATACATGCACACAGCTTGAAATACTTACAGCCAAGAAACAGGAGCAATTATTCATCCAATAAATCAGTCACTCACCGCCTTTTGGACGTTTGTGCTCAGTGTGCAACCTGCCTCTTTCCCTGACATTGCCGACCCCTATATACACACCCATATTAAAGGCTCGGTTAACATGCATAATATAATAGGCATAGGGTTAACTATCTATACAATCGTATGATGGATTGAATGATGGATTGACACATAATAGTAGTAGTAGTAGAAGTAGTAGTAGTAATAGTAGTAATAGTGGTGGTGGTAATAGTTGAAATAGTTGTTGTAATAGTTGTTGTAGTAGTTGTTTTAGTAATTGTAGTAAATTGTAGTTGCACACTTTTGCTCTCCGACCTTCACTAGGTTAAGCTCATTTGTTGGTTGTATGTCATTTATGATAGTAGTTGTAGTATTAGTAATAGCTTAACTCTCACAGGAATGCTTTGTGTTTGATACTAAGTGAAAATAGGATTAGTAAGCTCTTGCATGTCCTGCACTATACCACGATTTGAAAGCAGGATACCTCCGTCAAAGTACGTTGGGTTCTTCAGGTAGGAGAGAGACAAAGCTTCATTTAGATCCCCACACCTGGACCAGAATTACAGCTGACAGCTCCGTCCTCAGGGCTCGGCCACAACCTCTATCCAAATTCATATTTATGTCTGACAAACAGAAATATGTGATGGTATGCAGGAATAAGCTGCCACTGACATGCAATGGTTTCCAAGTGTAATGTCAACACTGATCAGTGCTAAAGGTTATTGAATACATCTAATGGGTTTTGACTGGATCTATTATAAACCATGTCATTTTTATGTAGCATTAGTTAATATATGAAAGTTATTCACAGTTCATATACCATCTTTTTATTTTAATATTAGGTTATGTTCTGTTACTCTATAATACAAAAAGGACAGATGGTAGAACAATCTTGCAGCCTTTGCAGTTTTTGGTATCAAGTATTTTATGACAAAGTTGGAAATGTTTCAGACCTATTTTAAACTTAGCACATGAACTTAGAAAACTTTTACAGTTTAAGATGTGCACTTCTTATCACAGGAAAAAAAATCTGGAAATTGTTCTAAAAATCTGTTTTCAGGTAAAAATGACAGCCATTAACGATGTTTTTTGTTAGTATACTCTGACTACTAATTGATACTACTACTACTTCATTACCATACCAATCTGCACTATATATTTTACTACTTTGACGTTATTGTAGCAGTAATTAATCTTACAATTACTAAAACCTGCATGTGTATTTTTTTCTCTACCAGTTTACATGCTATACAATCCTTGTTTTCAGATGCATAGTTTAAACATTAGAGCAGTTTTTGTTTAGCTTTCGTGCTACAGTTTGGGACATGCTTCTTGCCTCCCCAACCCAAAAAGGATCTAGGCGTCAGCTTTGGTTATCCCAGCAGCCTCAGAGCCAGGACAGAGGTAATATGAGCTGGTGGCTGTAGCAGACCTATGGAAACACTGATATACTCGCTTTATGGTCCAGCTATAGAGATTTAATCTGTGCTATTAAACCCACCTCTCCCTGTTCTTTTCTTATGGGCATTTTCAAAGAGAACCATTACTGTGATTTACTGTGTAGTGCTTACTCTGTCTGTGTCTGTCCACTTGTCTCTATACCTTAATATTAACCAGAAAAGTGCATGGCTTTATAACCCAAATACTGCACAGTAAATGAGCACTTAAGATGCTTTCCCATTCATTTTTTTTGCTATGCCTCAAGGTTTTTGATGCTGATGCTATTAAATTAAAAAAGGCATTTCAAGTTGCTCTTTTTACTTTAGCCTACATTTTCATCAATCAGCTTTGTGAGTCAGTGAATTTAGTTTATAAGACCACCAGTACTAAAATACTTCTAAACAGAATACAAATACTACTTTAACTTGTACACAATGTCCTTTTTGTCTGAATAGGTTCTAGTACAATCATGAATATTCTTGCTAGAACTTATATATGTAGTCCCACAACAATAGCAAAAACTTGGAAAAAATATGTAATTGTATTTTGTAGATATCAATGTATGTTTCAATAGTGGAATTCTTTTCAGAGATCATTTCAGAACATGTTTTTATAAATTCTGAACTACTAAAGACAGGAAAATAAGAAATAGGACAGGGTATTTTTTATTTTTTATTGTTTGCAGAGGAAATATATTTGGTAAGTCTTTGCGATTTCTTATTGCGACCATACACATTGCGATTTTGGTTGAATGGTAATATATCTTGCATCCCTGCATTACTTTCTCGTACGCAGATTCAAATAAACTTAGATGTTTTGAAAAATGGTATCTGCTGTGCCAGACCTTTGGGATATCAAGTACACATATAGGGGGTTTGGAGTATTTCCCTACAGGTTTTCCGAGGTTAGGGTCAGAGCTCATGTATCTCGCAACCCCCCAGTACTTCAATTAGGATGTCTTGATCAATTACATAGACAATAATCACTCTAGACACCTCCTGGCTCATGTCAAAGGCGTGTTTAACTACATTGGCACCGTTGTAGCCATGTTGGAATATCCTCATAATGAGAACTGGATTGTGGCCCTATATCTTTAGTGGTAAGCGTTTTCACATACATGCTTTGAAGTTGTACAGTGTATTTCTCAAAGAGGACATTTTCCTTCAAAGTAAAAGCTAATTTGCGATAAGTAGTCAAATATTGGCCATCCTTCTCATCTTAATTTACTTCTCTCCACACTTGGAAGTAATCACACCAGGTCTACACACGAACGCCCCTCGCCACATGTTCCATCATTTTGTGTTATATTGAACTATGGGAAAAGTGAATTATCAACAATGATCTCAACGTCATCTCTCCATCTGGCATACTATTAGCTAGCACTGGTCGCCTACAGAGTGAGTCAGGAAATTAGCAAAATTACTGCCCTGAATTTGCTACAAGTGACCGCTGCTGGGTTAAATAGAGGTACAGTAGAAAAGATTGATGGCCTATAAGCAGGGGTTAGCAAACGAGAATGTAATCCTGTCAAGTGGACACAAGTTTTATGTTTCATATGTTTTGTCACTCATCCATACAGCTACTTTAGTTCTGACTTAAAGCTGCACTGTGTAAATTTCCTGGTTTAGGGTCCACCACCTACTTGTCTCCATGGAGATGTTACTGTTTTTCCTAGAATGTCCTGGTATTGTATTAAATGTATCCATCTTGCATTTACCATATTTTTCGGACTATAAGTCACCCTTTTTTTCATGGTTTGAGTGGTCCTGCAACTTATACTCCGGTGCGACATATATGTTAAAATTTTTACACTCACAGCCTTAAGAGCGTGCTCTATTCTTGTGTACTCCTGTACCACTGTCACTTCGCACTGTACTGCGCATGTCGGCTGCAGAAGAAAAAGAAAGATTTGTCCTGTCTGGTATTGTGTCAGCCAATCACACCATTACTTCTGTATCACTGACAGTTTAAAATTTAAACAAACATAAAGACAACTCAAACCATCCGGTGGGATTCAGAAAGGCCAGAATAATTGTAACTGGAACTGATGCTGAGTCTGACGACAGCTACACAGTAGAGGAAGCGGGGCGCCGCTTCCTCTACTGTGTGATCTGGAGTGAGAGCGACTTATAGCCCAAAAAATATGGTACTCAATAACATGTTTTTATTGACCTTTCTTACTATGAGTGGGCTTGCCTCTCCACAGATCTGACATGTAACTTGGCCTTGTGGTGTTACCTGCTGTCTCTGTCATAAATGTAATGCCATACTGTAGAATATTCCAGGTAATATCTCCATGGAAAGAAGCAGGTGATGGGCGGGTAGTGGTTCTTATATTTTGGTAAAGGTAAACTTACATGCAGTATTTATACATTTTTTATTTTACGGTACTTTTGAAAGTAAGTCTGTTAAACGTAAATACTAGTTTAGCTCTGGGTATCTCTTTGCTGGATTAATACTATTGCTTACTATTATTGCCAATATTACAACAACCATACAAGGAAGGTTTCCAAAATATTTCAGCTCAAACTTGCAAGTGTGAGAATTTCCAAATATTGACTTATAAAATATGATGTATTTAGCTGATTGTTTCCATATGTATTCACTCTGTAGAACTGTTATTAAATTATTTCTTTGTATTTGTGTTTTAGTCCTCACATTTTACATTGACATTGTCCATTGGAGTTATATTGATCTTTGGTGTAAGAAAGTTTGACCATCTCAGGGGTAAAGGAAAACATGTGTGGACAAATCACCAGTTTAAATCCGACAACCTTAGTTCAACTCCTTTTAGTGTATGCCAAGCTATGCACAGTGTAGCCTTAAGCACAGTTTTAGCAGATGTACTGTAGGTAAATATACACACGTGCACATGTGGTTCTTCCATTTCTTCTGATTAGGTTAAAGTCTGGGCCCGGGGCACAGTCTTTGGGGGAGCAGGAGTCACGCGAGGTGCTGAACAGGGACCCCTAGCCATCTGTCAGCTCTGTGTATCCCACCAGTACTGTACGTACAGGAGAGAGGGCCTGACACCAAAGGCCTGTTACATAATGGTCCGATTTACCACAAGTGTTTGTTTTGCTAAAGTGAAATGTTACACAGTAATTAGGAGCTGATTGGGCTGTGCAATACACTGACCACTAAATGCTGTGTAAACATGCTAATTATGTGCATTTCTGCTTTCTACTTGTTAAAGAAAATGGCTATGTTATGGTAAGCAACACTATGAATGAGTAGTTTGCAAATTGATTCAAAAATATTCACTTGTTTGTTCAGAAAGGCACAGGTTTGGTTAATTAAAAATCTATGGTTCCGCAGACCACATGTAGAACAATGTGGGTTGGTTTGGATTTAAACAAACAAACATTTTCTTGGACCCGTCACTAGTAGCATCCATTAAAGGTCTTATACTATGCAAAATTCACTCTTGTGAACTTTTAGTCCTATTGGAATGTTGTTACCTCATAAAAAAACATACCTGGAGCTGTGGTTTGTTTCATGTACATGTTTGAATAATCCTGCATTATTAGGTCCTACATATTCAAAGCTCACAATGCGCTGTTCCACCTTGTGATGTCATGAAGCAGTAGTTCTCAGGTTATCCACTACCTTTTTAGTTCAGTTGAGATTGGCAATTCCAACACTGAAAGTATCCAAATTATTCTAATGAAGACTTATGGAGTTTAAAAGCACAGTGGAGCACTTCATGTATTACTGCACAGAGCTGATTGTTTTCTGTTTGAGAGAAGAACTCAGCCTAAATATGCACAATTTGTGTGTTAACCGTGTGAATAAAATAAAACACAACTCCAGGTATGTTTTTGGTGAGGAAACAAGATTATAACATAGATTTTTAAAAAAAGGGTAATATGGGCCCTTTAAAGTTGTTTTAATTTCAGACTATTGACTAAAAATATGATCAAATAATCAAATGAAAATCTATAAAAATCTATATCAAATCTTACTTTGTTCAGTAGATACCGTGTGTGTGTGTGTGTGTGTGTGTGTGTGACTGACTCATTAAAGTATACCAGTGGCACCGCAGATTTAAATGTCTAATCTCATCTCCTCTGCGCTTCCTGGGTCAGGTTCCTAAACATATAGAAACCCGTAAACACTGTCTATTAAATCAACTGGCACTACCTCTTTGTTACAACAGATACTTGATCCTGCCTGAGCCTTCGGGCCTGAACTATATTACCATATATATTTACAGTTGTTTGGGTTTGAGGAGGTGGGTTGGTATACAATCGGATAAATCATGGAGACTATGATAAGTGTGCTTAAGTGCACATAAGGAGGAGTGCTGTCTCATGTCCGAGAGCGCATGACATTTGGGATTTGATTTTGTAAATACAACCTGTAATTGATCATCTCCAGTGAAGATTTATGTGGACTATTTTTCAGTTAAAGTCTGCCTGTTTGTCCTTTGAGACTATAGCTATTTATTCAGAATGATAAGACTCTGGGACTGTTGCCATAGATATTAACAATTCAAACCTCAAAATGTTGCATATAACAGGAAGCTAAATCCCGTGAATACCCCAAAATCCTTCCAGAAGAGTAATGGAAATAACTAGTGCTTTTAAATGTAATTTGTTGTTCGGCCCAGACTTTTATTTGAAATACATTCCACTTGCACTGCTTGCCTGAGGTCCAGAATACACACTTCTTCAGTCCTTTACGGTTCAGATGTGTGTGCTCAGAGAGATATCATTCTGGATTTGCCACAGTTGAATCCAAGCTTGAGACGGTCAAACGTGACTTTTTGTTTATTTTGTTAGTCTCACTTTAACTACTACTTTAACTGCTGATTTTGTGCCAAGTAATGAGGCTTGTATACCATTGCATTTAGTATCTACCAGAGGTCGGACCAAGTAGTTGTTTTGCAAGTCTCAAGTAAGTCTCAAGTCTTTGACCTTAAGTCCTAGTCAAGTCCCAAGTCAAAGAAAGGCAAGTCTAACTCGAGTGTCAAGTCACTGGCTCATACGTCCAAGTCAAGTCCAAGTCGTCTGCTTTGAGCTTCAAGTCATTTCAAGTCTAGTTTATATGAATTTTAAACTAAACTGCACTTTTAAAAAATCATAGTATATTTATATATGAGTTTTTATAGATGGATGTAAGAGTTGTAGAAATGTAAATTTTTCCTTTTCAGATGTCTTAAATGTTTTGACAAGATCTTAGTGTGAATTATTATGGTCAGATTAAAGAATTCAGATTTAAAAGTGCTTCTCAAGTCTTCTCAAGTCACAGGCCTCAAGTCCGAGTCAAGTCCCAAGTCACTGATCTTCAAGTTCAAGTCGAGTCCCAAGTCTTAGTCCATTTTATCAAGTCAAGTCTCAAGTCCTAAAAATAGTGACTCAAGTCTGACTTGAGTCCAAGTCACGACTTGCAAGTCCTCACCTCTGGTATCTACAATTGCCATAACTTTTAAAAAATTTGCACTGTGTAACTTTTCTGGTGGAGGGTCCGCCAACTGCTTGTTTCCATCTTTGCTTTGCCTGAAATTTTCTACAGTACACCATTAAACATATATGTTTCCAACAAAACAAGCAAGTGACAGGTCAGATCTGTGGACAGGCAACTACACTGATAATGAGAATGCATGTTTTAAGGCACTTTTGAGCAATAATAATAATTAACATTAGACAGATATGTTTTATGGCATACCGTGGAACATTCCAGGCAAAGTAGTAATAGTAGTAGTACCGTAGTAGTAATTAGATAGTGGACCTTTTACCTGAAAAGTAGCATGTGATTTTAAGCAAAAAAAAAACAAACAATTCTTTCTTACAGGACACTAATACCTTGGAAAATGCAAATGATTGATTGTATAAATTGCTTCTGACTTTTCTGATCACTCTTACCTGTCAGGTCCATATACGCATGGGGGTGTAGAATGACTGCTCTTCATAATGCTGACTGCTCCTTTCCCTCCACAACATAGTCATCCATGCTCCGAGCTTGTATTTCAGTCCATCATTTCAATAATTCACACGCTCTGTAGAGCCAGTGCTGAAACATTTACAGGCCTATTGATCATGTCCCAGTTTGACGAGCCTGTTATGGAAACTATCTTTAATGAACAAGACACCTTCAAAGTCATAAATATTTTGAGAAGTTTTACCAGTCGAAGCATACGCCTTAGTTCAAAAAGTTTCTGGCCTTGGCATGGGAAGTATATTTGCTAATATCTCTGAACTTCAGCTCTCTGGAAGCCATTACCTGGAATTGCAGCAGGGACTTTCATCTTTTGCAGTTTAAAATTGTGGTGACGAATCAACCTGCTCAGCTGTGTTAGGCTCCGATCCCAGGCTGATAAAAGATCTGAGAAAAAGATTTGGGAAAATGAAACTGTTCCACATTTGTGTCACAAGTTTTATTTTGTATTTTGTTTTGACTGAATAGTGCCTGTTGCAAACTGCACAACAGCTTGAAATTTCAGTGTAGCTTTGCGGCGCAGCTCCAAGAAAATCACATGTAAATTGTACTGTGACAGCATTCTGACCATAGATAATAATAATATGACGTTCATGAATGAGTCTCCTTTGAACAAGTCTCTTCTGAATGGTTGCTTGAACAGTTGGATTTGGATCTCATTTTTAAAAAGAAGCAAGTATTTTCCGTTCCAATTTTTATGCATTTACCTTGTTAATAACAGTACAAATGATTATTGTAGTATCATTTTTATTTTGAATTTCAAAGGGTAAATACACTTCCACTGTCAGCTGGAACCATTTTAAACAAATCTGAGGTTTGGTCATTTCTCTAGGTGATTAGTTTGTAGTCACATCGCATCTGTCATGTAATTAAACATAAAAAGAGCCAGTCTTTTGAACGCCTCTTTGACATGAATGATTCGGATCCCACAAAGGAGCCAAAAGTCCCATCACTAATAGATGACTAACTTTACAGTGCCGTCACAGTATATCAGCTGGCATTTAAATTGTCATATTTATGTCATTTATTAAAAGTATTGATACTTCAAATGAGTAGTTACTAGTTTTAGGATCAAATGCTCTCTGGGTATTGTTTTTTTGATAAGCCTGGTAGAATATAAATAACTAGCAGCGGGTCAGACTTTTTTCTTTAATTCATGTGGTATCGTGTGTGTAACAACTGTAGCCTTTTGAACTGTGCAGTCTCAAAGGCATTTTATCCTTGTGCCATTTTCCCATGGCTAAAATGAGCTTTTGGTGACGGAACAAACACAATAGTTAACTCCCACCTCTTCCTATAAGTTTACATTTGCAATGCCATAGATCAAACAACTGGAGTCTATGGTGCCCACTGCCTATGTTGAATACAATAATGATATAGGCTACTGCTACGACTGTAGACTGTCTTTAGCCATGTTTATTAATATGGCATTGCAATCACTCTTTATCCAATTGTTAACCCTTCTGACATGTTCGATCGACACCCAAGTTTCCTTTGATTGTTTAAAGTCCGCCTGGCATCAAGTGAAACGAAAACAAGGAAATTACAGGTTTACAAGATTTACAGGTTGTAAGGAAATTATCCAGTTTTTTTTTTTTTCTTCAATCTTTTTAAGGGCTGTGCTTAAGCGTTACCATAGCAACAGATACACTTGAGTAATGACTGCTGATATAATCTGATATTGTTAAATAGCTTGATTTATGGTTGCATGTTTCCCTCACAAACAATGGAAGTAGCCTATCCGATGTATTTATTTCTTGGGCCTGTACCAAACTGAGTACATTGAAAAATCAACAGTCTAGCGAAGTCTTTCATATTTCAGAATAGTCATTCAATATGCTTATAACGAATTATGTTGCATTGATGTAAGTAGTTTATAGTGTTTTTAGTGACTCCTGACGTGGGGACAGTGAGACACTACGAGGCGTCTGGGATTAAGTGAGGAAAATCACTCTGCACCAGCAGTCCAGACCAGTCCATAATAAAGAGTTAAAGACCTCCATAGACTTGCATTGAGATGAAAATAACATGGGTCATTATAGAGTCGCACATCTGGTTTAGTCATATAGGCTTAATCAAACAGCTACGCTAATGCTAATACCTTTTACACAGACTAAATATGACAGCCCATTTGTGTATAGGAGACAGCTTTATGCTATATAGGGTATATTATGTGTTATTTTACCCAGAGTCAATGTAAAAACGATATGTCCCCTGAAGTAAAACCAGGTCTAAAAATAATTGAAATTGACATATCACAACCACTAATCGGTATAATCCTGTCCAGATGGAACAAAGCAGTTTTACTATATTACATTATCTCACCTGAAATGGTCTTTACAGTCAGTTTAAGAATAACATTATACATGATTTATGGTTTTGTATAGTCCAACAATTAACAAAACCAAGTAATCCGAAAAGCTAAAATGGAAGAAAAAAGACTTAAGTATTATTACAGAAGGAGATGGTGTAATCCCACTGTCCAAGAGTAGCCCTGGTCTTTCTCTATATTATTACAGAATAAATTCAAAAGGCTAAAGGTTAGTCCAGATGTAGACTTGTTTTGGTTCTGGTTTAGTTCTGGTCTAATCCAGTTCCAAAATTCCAAAACAAATTCTGCATCCAACAATGTCTAAAGTTAGCCAGGCTGGCACCACCTAGGACCTCTGCTCAATTTAATTTCTCTCCAACGACTAGGTCAGGAGTCAGAATACACTAGACGGTTCACAAAAACCCCAGAAGTGCGAGTTTGGGCACCAGCCAATCAGCAAAGAGTCATACATTCTGTGTTGGCAACAATTCCCGAGATCGGGGATTTGAAGCCAGAACAAAGAGAATGTTTGGTGAATTTTATCAATGGGAAAGACGTTATTGTCCTTTTTCCTACAGGTTTGGGGGAAAGCTTAATATACCAGATAGCCCCATTAGTGGCACATTACATATGTCACAACCAAATAGCCGTGATTGGTTAAATGAAAAAAAGTACCCGCTCGTCGAGCGAATGAATTCTAATGCTGCAAGGACTGACCGGCAAACCGGCTGATGAATCAGGCTAATCTAAAGTACCACATAAGAATAATAATAATAGGAATACATTTGATTTATAATGTACTTTTGAAGCTAAATCAACAACTACTACAATAGCACATCAATAAAAAGATGGGTTGCCCCAAAATACCAATTACTAAAATATGACTCAAGTACAAGAAAAAAGTATTTATACAAGTTACTTAAGTAGGAACTAGAAAAAAAAACGCTTTCATTTTCAAACCAAGACTGGGTTGAGTTTTTCCAAGACAAAACCTGGACTAAAGCAGGTTTAATAAGTCTACAAAAGTCTACTTGAAGATCCCTTTGAAAACACTGACTCAGAGGTAGTTTGAATGTCACTGTGGGAATTACATTAAGTCTCTGTGTGACTGACAAGCTTCCTTTTGTCCTTGTTCATAATGAGGTCTATGCCTTTGTATTACCTTGAACTTGGCATCACGCTGTGTACAGTGCACGGCTCACCTCCACGTCTGGCACTGTGATGGAGAATTTAGGATGTTCAAAAGCAATTTTAGTTTCAGCTTAGATGTGTAAATGAAATGTTGCAGAGACTTGAGGCTGCTTGCTGTCACCATGGTTTATGTGTGTGTTGCCCATGGCGATACTGTGAAAAAGGTGTAATTGAAAGTGTGGAGGAGAGGTGTGAAATGTGCGTAAGCAGAATAGGCCACTGCTGTGTTTGCATGCATGTATTTTCAAGGATTTATAAAGCTTTAAAAACAGGAGGCAATAATGAAATGTGTTTTATTGAGTATGTTAAAATCATAATCAGTGCATCTATCTTCACAACATATATATATTTTTTATTTAATTTAGTCACTTTAGTCTTGTCGATGCGAACCTGTTTCGTTGTGTTTATGGTGTTTTATTTTAGAGTTTTTTGTTTTTTTCAATATTTGTGGTTTTGCTTGTCTCCATGGAAATGTTATTTTGCCTGGAATGTCCCATGGTATGACTTTAAATAGTCCTGTCTAGCATTTATTCATTACAGGTGTTTCTATTGCTCACAAATACATGCAAAATAAATTATTCCAACTGGGAATGCGGTGACTCTCCACAGATCTGTACTGTAATGTATCATAGTGCTCGAACCCACTTGTGTATCTCATGATAGATATATTTAATCTATACTGTGGAACATTCTAAACAAAGTAAATAACATTTCCATGGAGACAAGCAGGTGGCAGACCCTCCACTAGAAATGTTACGCAGTCCGCCTTTAAAAATCTGTACACTTGCCTACCTGAATTGCATGTTTTGGTGATTTGTTACTATCCACCCCTTCACTCTTGCTGGTGTTCACAGTGAGGTTAAGGTTGAGTATTTTGGTGATCTCCTTGGTCTCTTTCTGGTGTGGTTGTTGAACAGCTTCTGCGCATATCATCCCAGGCCACTGCTTCCTCCTTTATTTCCAACAATAGAGTCAGCTTCCTGTCTTATCGCGTCACTTCCTGTCTGAGTTCAAACACCATCTTACACAGTGGCGTCCGGTCTCAAAGATACAAGAATGTACATACTATAGCGAAATCAGCTCGAGGAAATCAGGGTTATTTCCTCGTATAAACTGAAGGAGCAGTAGAGGTTGGATTTTGTCAGTTACTATAACCTTTGGAGTGTGCAGGTCACCTTTACACTTTAAATGTACCACACTAATCAAATGTTACACCTCGTCGGCAACAGTTCTTCCTTTATCTCACTTTTAAAACCCGTAAAGCCGCGTTAAGTTAAGTATGACTTCTGATTTAGGTCACCTATTTCCGAAACAGAGGTCATAAATGTAGACATTGTCCCACTAGTCTAGGGATGCACCGATACAGCTTTTTCTGTTCCGATACCGATACTTTGGCTTTGCTATCTGCTGATTCCTTTAAACACAAACAGCATAGGTGAAAAAAGATTAAAAATATCCAAATGTGTTAGTTATCATTTAAAGTGATTACAGAACATTTTTGTAAAAGTGCAAGTTTAATATTATGAGACGCTACTATATTACACCAATTTATAAAGCAAAACTGGATAGCAGCTGAGTCAGTATCTTGGCAGCTGATATCCTATCCACCAAAATTTTCAATATCAGCGCCAGAGTCCAATAACATATTGTGTCGGTGCATCCGTACTAGCAGAAAAGTATCAACATTGGCACTGGTACCAATCTACTGCATTAGTGTATTACTTGGCATTGAATTGAAAGAGCTGTAAACTATGACAGCAAATAATAATAATAAAAAAAAAAAATTATTGATATTGATTTATATTCAAGCAATTGCAGATGTGTTAAAAAAGAAAAAAACATATATTACAATAATGTTTCTAATAATAATAAGATTGTATTTTCTCTCTTGATTGATGTCACTAGTCTGTCAAGATGGGGCTTTTTTTAGTCAAACCCTTAGCAGGATTATGGTCCATCTTTGGGTCATCCTGGTTCAATGGACACTGCGCTGGTGGTCTATCAGGAGATGGGGGTGGTCTGCCCAAGAGTAGAGGATCTTTTTGTTGATCTGTTTAGTCCAAGTCCATGTTAGGCAGTTGTTCAAAACCACAGTTCCCCACGTATCTGTGTTTCATCACTGCTGAATTAAGTCATGGCAGGAGTCTAGTGTAGAGTTGAGAGGCCATAGGATCCACCTGGCCCAGAGCCTTGTTTAGAGCAGCTGTGTGGTGCATTGTGGGAGATGGGCTACGGTGCTGACAACCTGATCTAGTCCTGCTATTTATCCAAACCGTACTCCAGTGCCAGGGGTGTGGAGCAATGTTGTTTTATTGTTGAATGTTGTCAAAGGAGTCGCGTGTTTCATCATTTTTGGCAATCTTGATCATTGAAAACAGTCCCAGGATGCACTGATTGACTATAATTGTACAAATTTCCATAATGTGCAATCATACAGCTCGGCATTCAGTGTTGTAAATATAGGATCAGTATCGCTTGTGTGAATCATCTGAATTGCTCATAGAATCATAAAGTACTCTATAAATACATAGGATAACATGGAACACTGTCAAAGGACTTTCTTTCCTTCTCGTAAATAAACATAAAAGTTTCAAATTGCTTTATGAGAAGGAACATTTACATAATAGATCATGTTTGCTGGAACAGAAAACTGACCACTTACCACTTTACAACCAAAATGAGACTAGCTCCATACAAGGTTTGACAAACAGCTGCAGTTATGTACAGCTCAAATCTTTGCATTTCTGCCCAACAATCTCATTATCTCATTGTACTATGGATGCACCAATCTAACTTTTTGTGTTCGGATACTGATGTTGATACTTTATCTTTAAGTATCTGCCAGTACTTGATATCAGCCAATACCAGGGCAGAGATAGAAAGTATAATTTATTTTCTTTAAACATAAATGGCGTATTTTGAAATATTACCCACATGTGTTTTATAACTGTTATTTAAAGTTATTAGTAGCTACAGAACAGCCCTGAAAAAACAAACGTTTAATATAATGAGACATTTTGAACGAACATTGGCCAGTAAATCATCTCATTACACCAATTTATAGACCAAAATAAGAGTACTGTATTGATGCAACCCAAATCTGCTCTAAAAATCTGAAGTCTAGTATTCTGCTGTACACCTTTCTGTCTTCCATTTTGACCCTTTTATACATTGCTAGCACAGTACTTAAAGTTGTACTTACAAATGACTCTCTAAATGACTTTAATTACACCTTGATGCTGTATTTATTCTTGGCAGCTGTGTATGTGTCATAGAGTGAGTGCAAGCTGTAATTCAGTGAGCCTGACTGTACTGCCCCCTGTGGTCACGTGCAGGGTCACACCTCCAGCAGAACAAAAAGGGCAGAGGCTGGGACTGCACAATACCACAGATAATAACACGGAGGATGCGGCGATCTGGCAGTGAAGTGAGCTAGAAAGGAAGCTTATAGTGAATTTTATTGAGCATTTTACTGTTCCTGTGTCCAGCTGGGTAGAATGATGTCACATGCAAATTCAGTTATAAACAAGTACTTAAATATCGGAGTAGAGGGAAAACCACAGTAATAAAAAAATAATTTAAAAAACATATTGTATTTGTATTGCAGACAGATGTTTTAAAGAATGCATATCACGCTGTTTTCTGATCTATGTTACAATGATGTTTCCTCATCACAAACATACCTGCGTACTCCATACTCCTTCACTAGAATCATTTGGATCATTGGTCCTCAGCATGTTACTCAAACATGTCTGAATGAAACAAAACACAACTCCGGGTATGTTTTTGATGAGAGAACAACATCATAACATGGCTTAAAGCTCACAAGAGTCAATTGTGTGTAAAACTGGACCTTTAAAGAAGCCACTAAAAACAAGCAAGTTGAATATGAAATCGATAAATAATGATCGCTTCAGGATTGCTAATTGTACAAATCAAAGCACCCCACATATGAGTAAAAGCCAAATGGAAAATTTGACGTATTGTGGGCAGCATGCAGCAGTCTAATCAGCAGCGGTGGAGAGACTACAGCTAATGTACACATTTGATGGCTGTAGCAAAAACATGTAATGAAAGATGGAAATTTACCCTCAATTTAGAATAATATTTGCAATTTTGAATAAACATGTAACTATGTATGTAACTACTACGCATTTCTTTGGATGTTCGACAATAATGACAAAATACTATATAGTCATTGTAAAGAAATGAAATTGGTACAGAAATCCCTACAGACAAAATGGACTTCTTGACACAGTGGGCAATTAGCTAAGCTTTCCAGGTTTTACTCGCATGCAGTAAAGGAATATTGCACATGCTGTGGAAATCTGCAGCCATTGGGGACACATGGTCAATAAACTTGTGTCAGGGCGGAGAAGGTGGAGGAGGGCAGGCCGATGACATTGAAGTGGCTGGAGGAAGTCAGTGGATGTGAAAGGTGAAGAAAAGATCACGTATAGACCCAGCTAAGGGACATTGTGGTTCAGGCCGTTGCACACAAGGCGCCATTGTACACTGACAGCCCCTCTCTAACTGCATTTGACAGGCATGTTTTGACTAGGCCCGCCGGGAGCGATGTGTTTAAGATAGAAATGTACAGGGTGTTTTGTTGCCACCGTCCAGGCAGCTGCTGTTCGGCCACATCACCAGTGCTTTCCCTGTTTCAAGGCCTGCGGTTAAAAGACCCAAGAGGGACATTTAGCCTTTGGTCAGGTCTGCTACCACTGGCTACATCCGGTCCTACATGCGGGCTGGTCAGGCAAGCCTTACCTGCTCATATCATTAGTGTTGTTTTTTTTTCCCTACCAGTTTTAAAACAACGAGTCATATCGGCATTGTCATAGTTAGTTTTTTGTTTTGTTTTGTTTTATTATTGTGGCTATAAACAGCTATCCATGGGTTTCAGACAGATGGAAATTTTGCACAGTTTTGCATCTTTTGAATGGTCCAAATTCCTCAAAATGTCACCCAAAGGAAGCTAAAAGATTTTAGCAGTTTCCAAATTATTTAATCCCTATAATGGTCCAAAAATATGAATACTACAGTAAAAAAAAAAAAAAAAAAAAAAAATATATATATATATATATATATATATATATATATGTTTATTAAAGTAGTAAAAAAATGTTAACAGGTCCTATATTACCAAAATTTACTCTTGTGAGCTTTACGCCATGTTACAATGCAGTTACCTCCTCAAAAACATACCTGGGGTTGTATTTTCGTGTTTCTGTTCCCCCTTGTGATGTCACGAAGCAGTAGTTTTTAAGTTAACAGGTACATTTTAGTTCAATAGAGATTGGCAGTTCTAGGGCTAAATGATCCAAATGATTCTAGTGAAGGTGTCTGGAGTTTAAAAACACAATGGAGCACTTCCTGTATTATCATATGACATCAAAAGAGTGTTTTCCTTTTGAGAGGAGAACTCCTAAATATGCAGGGTTTGTGTGTTAAACGTGTGAGTGAAATAAAGCACAACTCCTGGATTGTTTTTAATGAGGAAATCTGCTTACCCAATCTACTCAGATAATTGTAGCCACAAGTTCTCTCTATTCATTGCACATTTGAACTATAATATTATGTTTGCCCACTAATACATCTACAACCATATTTTTAATGCCAATCTTATTATGAATATTTGAGTGTTGGCAGCGCAGCAGTCTTTAAAGTCCCTATCCACGGGGAGAAGCTGTGTGCCAAGTCAACACAATGGCCAGTAATGGAAGAGAAAACCAATAGGAGCCCCATGTCTCTTCAAACCTCTTCCTTTTTCTGCAGTTGGATTATTTGTCTTGTGTCCTCTCCTTTGTTAGTGCTGAGCGGGGCTGAATGTGACCCCCACACTCGCACTGGTGCTGGCTAAGGGGCCATCTGAGCCCGTGGAGGGGGGTAGAGGAGAATAACATTATGGGACAGCGCGCAGAG